TTAGCAAGTGATTTCTGTCGGTATGGTCGAAGTTTCAAGAAGACCATGTCACCTTCCTCAAATTGAGCTTCGGTGCGATGGGCATCAGCCAACTTCTTCATTCTAGTTTGTGCCCGCAGTAGGTTATCTTTCAAGACTAGCAAAGCTTTATCCCTATCAGCGAGCTGCTGATCCAAGGTCGCATTGACTGTTTTCAGAGTGCCATAACAAATCAATGGTGGTGGTGCTCGGCCATAAACAGCATGGAACGGTGTAGTGCCCAAGGAGCTATGGAAAGTGGTATTGTACCAATACTCTGCCCATGGTAGCCAAGTGCCCCAGGACCGTGGCGACTCTCCACAGAAACATCTAAGGTAAGTTTCTAAGCATCTGTTGACTACCTCAGTTTGTCCGTCAGTCTGCGGGTTATAAGCCGTACTTCGTTCAGCTTAGTTCCTTGGAGGCGAAATAATTCCATCCAAAAGTGGTTGAGGAAGATTTTGTCCCGATCTGAAATTATGGATTGGGGAAATCCATGGAGTCGAACAACTTATTTTACAAAAGCTGTAGCTACTGTCTTGGCTGTGAACGGGTGGCTTAAGGGTATAAAAGTGGGCGTATTTACTTAGCCTATCCACTACGACAAAGATGGTGTCTTGACCCAAGGACTTGGGTAACCCCTCCACGAAGTCCATGGTGATGTCTTCCCATATTCTGTCTGGGATAGCCAATGGTTGTAGCAAACCGGCTGGGGATACTGTCATGGACTTATTCTGTTGGCAGACACAACACTCCTCCACGAACTTCTTAACGTCTGCCTTCATCCCTGGCCAATATAGCTCCCCTGTAATACGCTTGTAGGTCCTCAGGAACCCAGAATGACCGCCCATAATCGAGTTATGGTAAAGGTGAAGGATGGCCGGCTTCAACGAGGACCCGACTGAGATGGCCATTCGGTTTTTGTAGTGCAAGGTGCCATGTTGCACATTGTACTTTGGGTGACTATCAGGGTCAGCGAGCACCTCATTCATGATTTTTGATAGGGTAGGGTCTGCAAGTACCTCAGATTTCAGAAGTGCCACATCTAACAAAGCTGGCACAGTAAGGGTGTTTAGGTGGCTGGTCAGAGGCATACGGGATAAAGCGTCGGCCGCCTTGTTCTCGAGCCCCGGTTTGTACTGAATCTCAAAGTCATAGCCTAGTAACTTGGACATCCACTTCTGATACTCGGGTTGCACAATCCGCTGCTCAAGGAGGAATTTGAGTGCCTGCTGATCCGTGCGGACAATAAACCTTTGGCCTAGTAGCTAAGGACGCCATTTCTGTATTGCCAGAGTGACTGCCATCAACTCTCTTTCATATACCGATTTTGCCTGGCCTTGACGAGATAGGGTATGACTGAAGTAAGTGATGGGCCTCTAGTCTTGCATCAACACTGCCCCTAACCCAATTCCTGAGGCATCCGTCTCGACCACAAATGGGAGGTTGAAGTTAGGCAGAGCAAGCACCAGGAGGGTGATCATGGCTTGCTTCAGTTTCTCAAATGCTTTAGTTGCTTGGTCATTCCATTCGAAGGCGTCCTTCTTCAACAATTGTGTGAGCGGAGCGGCCAACGTGCCATAGTTAAGCACTAACTTTCGGTAGTAACCTGTCAACCCAAGAAATCCTTTAAGTTCCTTCAGGTTGGAAGGGGTTGGCCACTGCAACATCGCTATGATTTTCTTCGGATCAGCCTCCACTCCTTCTTCAGACACCCAATGGCCTAGATACTCCACCTTAGTTTGTGCAAAGCTGCACTTCTTGAAATTGGCACACGAGGAATGATCTCGCAGTAAATTGAATACCACCGTGAGATGATTAATGTGAGTTTGTAAATCTGGGCTATATATAAGTATATCGTCGAAAAACACAAGCACAAACTTATGTAGGAAGGGCCTAAAGACTTGGTTCATCAGGGATTGAAAGGTGGCTGGTGCATTGGTGAGCCCGAAAGGCATAACAAGAAATTTATAGTCCCTTTGTGTGTCTGGAAG